CCAAACCTACTTATCACACATGCTTTATGGGTCTTCATCTTCAAGTAATATATCAGTAAAATGGTAGGGCGTCCCCAGGAAGCAGCATGCAGCCACTTTGCCCAACAGCTGTGGAAAATGGGAAATGGCTACTGCATTCTGGGCTCCTGCGGCTAAACAAGCTAGTCCAAGATTAACATATGGCTTCTTTGGATGAGGGAAGAAGAAGCTGAGACACTGAAAAGAAGGAGAGTGCACATTGCTTGTATCCAAAAGACAAAACGGAGAGGGTCGAAAGGAAGAGTGACCAGCTAATAAAAGTTAGAATAAATATTTAATGTTATACGTGGATATGCGCCACAGGTTGGTTTTACGATTGAGGAGAAGGAGGAATTCCACATCAAGCTGGACCAAATAAGTGAAATACCACAAGCTGAGTACTTGATTATCGGAGCAGATCTCAACAGACATGGGGGAGAACATAGTGAAGGGTATGACAACTGTCACAGAGGACGAGGCTTTGGAACCACAAACGAAGCTGGTGAGGATACCTTAGATTTAGCCAGAATCCATGGCCTGATTGTCAAGAGAGAGGGAGACTTAATTACATACAAAAGCGGTGCCAACAAGTACCAGATCAATCACTTCCTACCAGAGGAAGAAATCTTAAAAAAAAAAAAGGATTAAGTGATCAAGCTTTACAAGCTGATAAAGAAAATATCAAAAACAGTGGATGCAGAAGTTAAAGGTCAGGCATCGAAAGCCTTATACACAGGACTACTAATAAAGAAAGGGGAAAAAGGATTAGCCAAGATTAAGCAAAGGTCTTAAACATAGGACTTGGGAGCCATGAAGCAAGTCAAAAATAAAAACAGAGTACTGGTGGAAGATGGTGAAATCATTAGGAGGTGACAGCGGTTTTATGTGAAACTACTCAATGAAAAGAATACAAAAAACCTGTTGAGGGAAGTATGAGCAAGCAACAACCTCTCAATACCTATTACCAAGGTGGAGACTCAGACATCGCGACAATGAAATATGGGAAGGCAGTGGGACTGGATAGTGTATCCACTGAAGCACTTAAAGCATTCGGTCGTGAGGGAGTTGTGGTGATGAACTTTTTCAACTTAATTCTCCATACTGGAAAAATACCTGATCAGTAGAGGAAGAGCACATTGTTCCCTATCTTCAAGCCTAAGGGAAATATGCAAGAATGTAGTAATTACTGACCCACCAAGATAATGAGTCACATGATTAAATGGCTGGAAAGAATTATTGGGAGGGACTAGAGCATAAAGTGACAACCAATTTGGGTTTATGCCAGGAAGGTAAATGATGGATGCAGTGTTTGCAGCCCAAATATTGCAGGAGATATAGAGGAAGAAAAGCAAGGAATTGCACTTAATGTTTGTGGATTTAGAGCAGGGGTAGGCAACCTGCAGCATGTGAGCTGATTTTCAGTGGCACTCACACTGCCCGGGTCCTGGCCACTGGTCCGGGGATCTCTGCATTTTAATTTAATTTTAAATGAAGCTTCTTAAACATTTTAAAAACCTTATTTACTTTATATACAATAATAGTTTAGTTATATATTATAGACTTATAGAAAGAGACCACCTAAAAATGTTAAAATGTATTACTGGCACGCAAAACCTTAAATTAGAGTGAATAAATGAAGACTCGGCACACCACCTCTGAAAGGTTGCCGACTCCTGAGTTAGAGACTGCTTATGACAGAGTTCCTATATAACTGTTATGGCGTTGCCTGCATATTCTGCCAGAGATACATGTTCAGACTACACTGCTCTACAGCCAAAATGCTTCTGAAATAAACGTAGTCAAACTTTACTAATTCTGGGTCACTGAGAATGAAAATTATGC